CCCAATGTAACTAGCAACTTATAGTTTAGCTTTTCCCAAATATTCACTATCCACCAATGAAAGTCCATCACGGAGACTCATTTATGTGTGCTGTTCATAATTAACTCTCTACCTCAGTCTTGTTGCATTCATCTCTATCTGGTAACATGTGCATTTACAGAGACAGCCTATCAAAGTTCGTAGTGCCTTACAACAAATTCTGTGGTAGCCTTTCACATTCTTTTACACCTGGATTGAGATTTAAGTTGCACTTTGAAACTGAAGATACAGCCGAAAGAAGGTTGGTTTGTTTTTTTGGTCTACATCTCTCAAAATCATGTAATCCCAGTATTTGATTCTTGCAATTATGGCAGATACACTGGGCTTGTAATTGGGACAGGTGATGTGGACCCTGTTCGCTGGCCTGGTTCAAAATGGAGGAGCCTATTGGTATGCAGTTTGTCATAGCACCGAATATTCGACTTGCTCATAATTTAAATCATGACATTAATACCATTTAAATTTGCATAACGAGAAAGTTTAATGAGAAGCTGTTGACTACTTGACTTGTAGTCATACCTTCTCGATCTTCTTTTCTATTTGAGATGATAATGTGTGCAGGGATTATGTGTCAAATATCTTTGATTCTCTGCCTTGAATATCTGCTATGTAACTCAGTGTGTCCCATGATCTTCAGGTGAGGTGGGACGATCTAGATGACACTAGACATAACAGGGTTTCTCCGTGGGAAATTGAGCCCGCTGGAACAGTTCCTGGATCTATCAACATGGTTGTACCTGCTGCTGCGAAGCGCCCGAGGATTGGATTGCCAACTCTGGGGGAAGATTTTGCAGTTTGTGGAGGTTGTTACTATTCCTGTAACCTGTAAGGCCTGTTTAGAAGGAGGGTTCTATCAATATCTTCACATTTAAGATTTTATACACTTGTTGCAGATGGGAGAGCTGTATTGGACATTGGGAACCCTTGTAGATTCCCGGTCTTGCAAGGTCAAGAAATTTTTGCTGCAAATAACATTCCTGGCTATGACAATTCTGAGATTTCCACAAGAAGTAGAATTAACATTAGAGCTCTACTCAGCGAACCAGCGCACGAAAGCTTTGGCGGCTTTGCTGAGCCTTCCCGGTTCAATAAAGTCTTTCAAGGTCAAGAAACTTACCCGAGATGGTCTACACCACCACCAATCACAAACCATCATCACAACCACAGCCAAACACCCCATCCATCTACTCCATTCCTTCATCAAGTGTCTTCATCACCACCCTCTGTCCTAATGTTTCAGAACCAATCTGCATTCTCGGACCTTCTTGGGCCTCAGTCATCCTGCACGGTATTCGGCTTCCCCATATTATCCGAGGCTAGAAATGCCCACCCGATGACTAGTAAAGAGAGCGGTCCATCTTCAAGGGGCGAAACTGCCACCACATCACAAGTGATCTCCAAAGTAATGGGAAGCAGTTTTCCAAGGGTAAGTGACCCTTGTGCCTCTAGGGAAGTTCTTCTCGATATTGCACTCTAAGAAAGTGTATCTTTGTGTGTGGATGAATGATTGAATCAATGAATGAGAGCCAAGAGGTTTTGTTGAAAAAAAGGCAAGTGTTTTATTTTAAGATTTGTGTTGCCTGTAAAATCATAATATTTGCTTGCCTTGCTAGCGAGATGTGATTTATTTTTGTTTATTGGTATGGGCTATTGCAAGTCTTCATGGTTTATGCTTCTTTTTACTAGTAGATTACCTTAGTATAACATTAGTATAACATGACTTAGGGGCTGTTTGGCAACTTCTGAATGGGTAAGTGTTGAACCAGTAAGAGGTCTGAACCATTAAGAGCTGGTATATTGCTTAACTATTCAGAGGCAAATGTCTGATCAATTCAGATAACAGCTCTTAACTATTCAGACTCTGTATAATACTTAACCATTCAGACATCTGAACCATTGACATCTGAACCATTAAGAGGCTGAAACAAACAGTCTGAATCATTAAGTGCTGAATCATTCAGACATCTGAACCATTAAGAGGCTAAAACAAACAGCCCCTTAATTGAAGAATATGTACAATTACATCAATGTAGTAAGATTACCTTGTACTCACTATGGTTTGTTTACTGTGACAAATGGCATTTCTAAGCGGTTCTTTTGGGCATTTTGACCTAAAATAAAATTTTGTCCGGTCAAAATGCCAATAAATGTGTTTGGTAAATGGTAATGGTACTGTGTATCTTGGTATTTTGAATTAACAAAAATGTTATTTTGAAAAAAAATGTTAAAAGGATTAGCATTTTGGAATTTGAATACAACATTTTAGTGCAGTACTTCGTATTTTTTAGCATACAACAAAGCTTCAAAACATGTTTCCCCTCTTCTCTTGTAGATTTGTTTGATGTTGATTTAAAGAATTAATCTTGTAAAAAAAAATCTAACTATTTGTTAATTTTTTAAGATACACATTGTTACTTGCTAGTTAAATGAGAAAAGAATAGAATATAAATTATTTTTTTGTTTGGTTAAAAAAGAAGAAAAGAAAAATGGAAAGAAAAAAAATACTTCGTTGTAGAAGACACAATGTACTAATAGAAGAGAACAAAGTTTCTCTCATTTTGGTGTGGAAAATGCAATTTGTTTTTCCTTCCAAATTCTTTAAACTAAACATAGCGTTAGGGTAAATTTTCTTATGGGATAGATGCAATATAAAATAGTTTATTTTCTGTCTTGCCTTGTTTCTTTCAATTTTTTTTTTACTTTTTCTAATTTTGCTAATTTCTTCCACGCCGTTTAGTTACTTCCAATATCTAATTCAAAAATTTTCGATCTAAGAAAACAACTTTTTAGTCCATAAACGGACAGGAAAAAAATTCTCTTATTTCTTTTAAATTACCTCCCTACCCCCTCTTCCTATTTCCCTCGATCCAAACACACTATAATAGGGATGGTGCAAATTTCTGGAAAAGTTGAAGTTTAAGTTTGGGAGTGAAAATCATTTTTGTATGATATTTCTCTCTTTTTTAGTGGTGAACGTGATCCATGATATTACCTGAACTTATCACGGATTGCGTTTATTTAAATAGTTTGGTATTGATATGAGATGAACCCTAAAGACATTCGTTATCCTTGCATTTATGAAATGGATGATACAATATCATACACATGCTAAAATGGTGTGATAGAGATACGAGCTCAACCCCATGGGCCTATAGGGTTGGGCTCGTCAGGGTCGTATATGTTGCACTCGGCCTATAGAGGCCCCCTTTGCCAGAGAGAGCGTCAGCAACGTCGGGCCCGCACTTCACGCTCAGCCTCGACTTTGTGACATAGTCGGCCATCATGGCACACTCGAAGCCTAACACCCACGGTGCACTATGTTGGACCAGGAAGTCAACTTTTGGGAAGCCCTGCAGTCACAAGCCCAAGCCCAGGACGTCACAAGAGGGCGACATGTCCCAAGCATGGTCAACAACATACGCGTCATTAGGAAAATGATATATCATAAGAACGAGACAAATGTAATTAAAGAGGCCCATGAATCTCCTTGACTTAGAATATCCAAGTACGCTCCAAGTACTGCCCTATGGTCATGTTGTATACAGATAGCCCCTCACCCAAGGGCGGGGAGATTGGATTTTGAGTTCACAAAATACGTATTACAAGCTTTCTCTTCATCTTTTGTACTACTCCATCCTTAGAATCAATCACCGTGTAAAAAAAACAAACATTACCCAAATAATATTAAAACAAATGAATAATTTTGTATTAAAAAAGCACAACTTTATCAAAAAAGCAAAAGGATCGTAAACATAAATAATAAAAGGTAATGAGTCCAATTTCAAAAAAAATAAATTCTTTTTTTTCCAGTTCATACAATATTGGACTATTAATATTTTCGAAGAAAATAATGATTGTAATAGTAATAAATATAATAAAAATAACAATGAAAGAATATTAAAAAAAGAATAATAGAATACAATTCATTCCATATATGGTAAGATGAAGTAGACAAATAATAAATATTTGATATACTATGTAGATAGATTTAAATTGTTTGATTTGCAATAATTAGTTTTCAATTTTTGTGTCACAATCCTGTCTCGTTTAATATTAGTTCGATTTTGGTTCCAGATTAAAAAAATTAAGGAAAAAAGGCTAAAGTAGGAGTAAAATATTAAAAGTTTACCAAAATAAAGATTTCATGTTTTTATTCTCAAAATAAAAGTTAAAATCCATATACATTACCAAAAAGTGTCATGAAATATCATATACAATGCTACACAACCACCGTTCAATCTTCTATTTTGAAGATAAAAATATGAATATTCTATTTTGATACTTTCTATATGTTTACTCTTATTTTTAAAAATTAATTCTATTTTAAAACACTATAAATGGTTTGACATATTTAGTCTTTACATATCAAATATCAATAATTTAGTCGTCAATTATTATTTTGTTTTCTACAAATAGTCATTTGTTAACATTTCTGTTGAGAATATGGATAAAATTATATATTAACGCTCATCTCTCTCTTCAATTAAACTTCCTTTCTCCTCTATTACTCATTCTCAAACCCGTCGCTGAGTTTGAAGCTTTAAACCCAAAACTAAAATGATCACTCTTTTCTCAATTGTTCATCTTTCTGATGGAATCCAAAATCAAAACTAATAACCTTCATTGATGACCTGAAACCGGGTCGGGCACGGGTCGGGTCGGTCATATTTAATGACCTGAAACCGACCAAACAAAGGTTGGGTTCGGTTTTAATTTTCTCGGGTCGGTTTCGAATATTAAATTTCTCGGTTCAAATTCGGATATTTTAAGCTTCGGTCGAGTCGGTAATAGTTAGATTCGGGTACAATTGCCATCCCTATCCATGACCACTGGATTCCAGTGGCCATGAAACCGGGTCGATAAAGAAAATGAATAGATGACGTTATATGGAATTTACTCAAATTAATTCTATTTTAAAACATTATAATGGTTTGATACTATTACAATTGCATGTAGTACCACTATAGTTAGCTTTTTTCCCTACCCCTACCTTTTCCCATATCTTGTTGAAAGCGTTCGGAAGAACACCATTCTTAAGCTAAACCTTCTGCTACGAATTTCTTCCACAGTGAGGCTATACACAGTAGATTTTCCACCGTCATTTTTCAAAAATCACTTGGTAAAACGGTAAAACCTCCCTACTTTCCCAAATCCCAACTCTTCGCTACACCATGATGAGGTTTTTCGGACGGTCACCGACCGCTGTGGAATCGCCGCAGTCGGCATCTCCGTCGACTTCGCCGTTGCCGCCGTATCCACAACCCTCCGTCAACACTGCGGCAGGACCGGCCAGGCCTATCCGGTTTGTGTATTGCGACGAGAAAGGAAAATTTCAGATTGATCGGGAGGCCCTTTCTGCGCTCCAGCTCGTTAAAGAGCCCGTTGGGGTTGTCTCCGTCTGTGGGCGCGCCCGGCAAGGCAAGAGCTACATACTTAATCAGGTGGAGTTTGATAGTTTGAGGTTGATTTTGATTCATTTGCTCCATTCCATGAAATCTAGGGTTTTAATTCCTCATTTGTGGATCACTTAGTTCCTAAGTTAAATGTGTCAATTTATATCTCATGTTCATGGGTGAATTAGGGTTTAATAAGTGGTTTCGTGGTCTCAATTGGAACTATGACTTGGAAGGAGTGATGCGCGTTTTTTTAATGACTCTACTGGAAGTGAAGAAGTTTGTATTCGAGCCGTTCCGAGAGACTGTGGGACTTTTTAGTTTTAGCAAGTTACAACATTTAGAAGTCATTGCGTCATGCATGTATTTGAAGCTTATCTATTTGTTTGAATAAATTTGTCACATTTAACTTGTCACTAACAGTTTTTGAAAAATTCCATGAAAAAAGACCTTGGTTTGGTGAAATAGATCTCGTTTTGTGAGAAGTTTTTGAGACAAAAATCTCTTTTTAGGATGTAAGAGTGTTAATCAGGAATTAGAACTTTCACCATTAGCGGTTGAGGAAAAATCTATCTTTACAATCCCTTTAGAATAAGAAAATTCATGCTTAGGTTTTTGGAAAATGAGATGAGCTCTGAAAAGTTGGTGCTGATAATAAACATATTAAATTGTGTTGCTAACTATGGATGCCTCATGGAGGCTATATATCAGTGTAAAAATGCTGGCTTGTTTCTGCAATACATTGGTGATAAATACCAAAAAATTATTTCTATAATCAATTGGTGATGATTACCAAGACATTCTTTAGGCATATCATGCCCTCTATTTCTTCTATATCACTAGAGTTTCAGTGTCCTTGGGATCCATCTCCCATTTGAGAGTACAGGGTATCTGCATTCTCATTCCGTTAAGAATGCTTAGCAACTGCCTGCATTTTGGTTCAAAGAAAGTTGAAACATGTCATTATGAAATGCTAGAGGTCATTTCATTATCGTGCTAGATGTATGTATGTAGCGTAAACTAATTTAGACACCCATCCCACAAAGTAGTCATGTTTCACCATGACCTTAGTTTTAAGTTTCAGCGCGATAAAATTCTTATAAGTTGTACAACATCATTACATATCTGTTGGTTTAACTAAACTTATCATATTAAAGCTAATTGGAACTATTTTGTTTGGGAAATGACATCTTCAAAGAAGGCTAAATAGTATATTGTCAAAGCAGACTCCTTTTATTCGGGACAACTAGTTTGTGAAACTAGATTTTTGGCTCCCTTTGGATAGATGTAAGTACAAGGCAATGAGTTCCATTTTATACTTTTCAAGCCAATAGCTTAGTAATAAAGGGATGTGAATCAGTGATTACATCATTCGAATACCTTCCATGTGTGGGTCGCTTGCAGATTTTTCTCATAAACCTAAACATATGTAGAGGTGGATATATTTAGTATTACTGATGATCTCATAAACAAAATGCATGCAGGGAAGGATATCATTAGTACTATTACTGAAAAGTTATATTCTAACATTAGAGCACTTTTAATGTATGAAAAACCACAGCGAATACAGTTGTAGAATCAAGTGTTTTTATCATTTTCAGCCTAGTTTTATCTAGTCTATGTAATTTGATATTGTCATTGCAAGACTTTTAATGATATGCTCATAGTTGTTTAAAGCGCGATGCGCACTGATGCACAAAGGGTCCCGAGCGCCTCGATGCGAGATGCGCAAGTAATGCGCGCGCTTCACGAACATGAGGCGCAAATTGAAACATAAGGAGCATAGAACCTCTAAATTACCAACAATTCCTATAAAATGTATAGCATCTCTAAATTAGAAACATTTCTTATACAATTTCGAAAGACTAATAAAATTTTAGAAAGTAATCAAGAATCAATGTCACACATAGTACCATTGACAAATAAAAATACTAAAAGTTCAAGAACAAAATAGCTACTTGCAAAAACAAAACAAAACATGTTCTTTCCCACAATCAATACCTCGTTTATGGATGAAACAAAAGTACAGAACTGCATGAAAAAACATGGAAATCTAGCGATTTAAAAAACTGAAGCGGGCTAAAGAAACAAAAAGAAAATCTGAGAAGCTACTAGTGCAGTAGTTCCAGGAGAAGAAAAAAGAGAAGCCCGTTAAAAAAACTGAGATCAATTTAAAAAAGAAAAAAAAATGAAAAGTAAGAAGCAAGTCAAGCGACTAACCTGAAAGAGAAGAAACACAACCGTTAAAGGGTGGAAGACTCGCAAGTCGCCGAAGTCCAAGAAGCAGAAGGAGAGAGACACAAAGTTGAATGGTGAAAAGTGAGTTCGGCAGTCAACCCTAGTCTTAACGTAATAAAATAAAATAAAAAACTCTGGGTTCGCGATGTGCGCCTTATAGCGCATCAGATCGCATCGACAAATGCAATCATGCGCGGTTATGTGCGCGCCTCCTGCATCACACAGGCATCACACTGTCTGATGCGCAGAGCCCTATGCCTTGCGCGCATCGCGCCTCAGGCGCGCTTTTCACAACTATGGATATACTCCATCTGTCCCAAATTAAAGTTCTCAATTACTATTTCAGCTTCCCGATAACTTTTGTTTAGTTGTATATTTTCATTGATTATTTAATAAAATAAAATTATGTTGTTGCATCATGTTTTATAGAACTTTTGATGTAGTTTTGAAATATGTAATTTGGATTTTTTATTTCTATACCAATTTACAAATAAAGTAATTTTAAAGAAAGATACTCCGTAGAATTTTACATGTTGTTCAAAGTGAGAAGTTTATTTTGGGACGGAGGGAGTAATAGACTAAGCTGAGGACGGGAACCAAGCCAAACATACCCAATGTATCATACTAGGAAGTAAAGTTTGGGGGTTGACAGATTTAGTGTGTACAGTGGGGGTGTATAGAGCCTTTCTCTATGAAGCTCTTTCCTCCTGCTCCCACCTTCACCACGGCTTAGGATTTTTTTGGGTGGTTTTGTATTTTAGAAGACGTTGGGGAAAGGTCGTTTAATGATGAAATTGTGGTAAAAATCTGTTTGTCCAAAGTCAATGACGGAACCCGATTGATTAAGTTCTTCTCCAATCAGCACTGCCTAATGCTTCTTAAACTTTTCTGTTAGGAAGATATATAGACATATAGTAATACATGTGATTAACAGTTTCTTGCTTGGATTTAGCTTCTTGGGAGAAGTAGTGGATTTCAAGTGGCATCAACTCATCGTCCGTGTACCAAAGGTCTTTGGTTGTGGAGTGCACCTTTAAAGCGAACTGCTCTTGATGGAACAGAGTATAACCTTTTGCTGATTGACACTGAAGGAATCGATGCATATGATCAAACAGTAAGATTCATCCCTAATTTTTTTCGAACAGTGGAAATTTCTTCTGCATTTGTAGTTTACTGAATTTTTTTCCTCTTGTCATATTTTGCTATAATGAGTGTTGGGTAGCTAGCGTAGTATTTCAAGTACCTTAGGATATGCTATTTCTTAGTTCAAGCTTCTTTTAAGTTTTAATTTTTCCCTAGTTAGATTTCCATTTGAAACATAGTTTCTTTTCTTTTTAGGTGTGTGTGTGTGTGTGTGTGTTTACTCCATATGAGATTAAGCATATTACACATCATATCCTTCTTTATTATTTTTCTGCATCTTTATTTGATGACCTGGCACTTCATATATCACAGACGCTCCATAATTCTTCAATCCTTTTTTGAATGATTTGATGCTTTTTTTTCAACAGGGAACTTATAGCGCTCAAATATTTTCATTGGCAGTCCTCCTATCAAGCATGTTCATTTACAATCAGGTTGATGATATTATGCTGCTGTAGTAGATTTTCACTCAGTATATTGTTTAGTTTTTTCTGTTTTTACATTAGGACAACTGACTTAGTGAATTATAGTTTTTCCCGTTATATAATAGTTTTCTAACAGATACGCTTTTTCTTCATTTAATCCAGATGGGTGGTATTGATGAAGCTGCTCTTGATCGGCTCTCGCTTGTCACTGAAATGACTAAACATATCAGGGTCAGAGCATCTGGAGGAAGGAATACAGCATCTGAACTTGGACAGTTCTCACCCATTTTTGTCTGGCTGCTTAGAGTAATTTCAATCTCTATTTTGCTTTATCTAAATGTTTCCAATGATTCAATATTGCTATCTAGTCTCTAAATTTCTCAGTGGTAGTGATACCTTCTGAAACCTATTATAAATTACTTGTCCTGTTTTTATGAATAGGATTTTTACTTGGACTTAACTGAGGATAATAGGAAAATAACACCACGAGATTACTTGGAGCTTGCATTGAGACCAGTTCAAGGTGGTGGTAGAGATGTAGCATCCAAGAATGAGGTATTTCATTTGAAGACACTCTCCCAAAGGAGGATATATCTTTTGATTTCCCTGCTCTTATGAGATAGTATTTCCCTCAAGACACTTATGAGAACTACTAAATACTTTTTGATTTCCCTCCTTATGAGAAGTTCATCTCAAGACACTTCTCTTCTTGATGTCTAAACTCTGAACTACTTAATACTTTTTGTTGCAGATTAGAGAGTCAATTCGTGCTCTTTTTCCTGACAGAGAGTGCTTTACTCTTGTGAGACCTTTGAGCAATGAAACCGAGTTGCAAAAGCTTGATCAAATATCTGTAAGTTCCTTACCCTCACATCTGAGTAGGTGTTACTGTGTCTAGCTCAATTATGCCAGCACATAATGTTTCTACACCCTCCTCTTGCAGTTAGATAAACTCCGGCCAGAATTTAAAGCAGGTCTTGATGCGTTGACAAGATTTGTCTTTGAGAGGACCAGGGCCAAACAAGTTGGTGCAACAGTAATGACAGGACCCATCTTTGCCCAAATTACTCAGTCTTTTCTCGATGCACTAAATAATGGTGCTGTGCCGACAATTACATCTTCATGGCAGGTGAGTTTCATATTATCATCAATACCACACTTACACAATGCATATGTGGAATTGGTTTAAATAGCTCCAGGGCAAAAAAGTTTTGGTCTAAATCCACTCAAATTTGATCAATGCTATATTTTGGGTGGAGTTAAAATGAGAAAACTATCTGTTCTCTCCAACTATAAGAAATTAACATTTTAAAAAAAGGTTGATTACTTTTGAAATGTTAAGGAAAGAAAATTTAAAATATGTAGATGATTTTTTAATAAGTAAATTAATGTCGTTAGATTTAGATGTGCTTCAAGCTGTTTCTGGTTCAACAGTGATTTTTAAGTTTTGATCTGCCCAACATGACCTATATAGTTTAAAATTAAAAAGTCACTTGCGAAATGGGTTGAAGTACTAAGGTTCCTAATTTTTTCCCAACATGTGATTTGTTTCGCTTCTCTAAGTTGAATTTTGTTCATTACTGTAGAGTGTTGAGGAAGCTGAGTGTCAAAGAGCCTATGACCTAGGTGCTGAGGCATACATGTCTTCTTTCAATCGGTCCACACCTCCTGAGGAAGTAAGTAGTGCAACATAAAAGGATACCTTAATCCCGTGCTATTGCTAATAATGTTTATGTGATTTTAGGCTGCACTGAGAGAAGCACATGAAGATGCGGTCCAAAAGTCAATGGCTGCATTTAATGCTACTGCTGTAGGGGCTGGATCAATCAGGCAAAAGTATGATAAGCGTCTTCAGAGCTTCATCAAAAGGGCATTCGAGGTAGTCTATTGCAATTAACTGCTCTTTTTCCATTAAGATTTTAAGTGAATGCATATTTGATGAGCCACCTGAGCTACTTCATGCACTGAGTGCTTGTTTTTTCCTAGAAATGGTCATCAAACTCCACCTCGATGTTCACTTGTGGATTATCGATTTGTTCACTATGCTAATGCAGGATATTAAAAGGGATGCCTACAGGGAT